TGCTGAATGGAGAGGAGAGGGAGAGTTCAGGAAACCTAACTCAGACCAGCCTGAAGCATTCTGGGACCCACTCTAAGGATGCTCAGGGAGCAGTCCTTCGTATCACCAAAACAGAGATCTCCAAGCTGATCAGACTCAGTAATTGCACAGAATAAAAACACAGTTAAGGACCAAGCACAGAGATATTTTCCTTTACACTTATTTTAATATAGTTTTGAGTTACAAACATGAAAAGGCAGATTATAACAAGTGCCTTGCACACTTCTTTTTCACGGAAGGGGGGAAGAATTTGAAGAGTGTCAACAGAATTTGTCTACCTTGAGGTCTCAACTCATTTAAATGAGCAACAAAAAAACATCTGGAGAATATTAGTAACTAAATACTTAAGAGATATTAGAATCCATCAGTGTAAAAAAAAAGAAAGGTTCAAATACATGAAACTTTTCTGTGTAGCGATTGCAAATTGCAACACAGGTCCTAATAAAAGCCTTAGTTACAGCACCAAAGTTTTCAATTGTAAGAACTGAGGAAATTAAGCATGGGGTATATTTTAAAGACACAGTGTTTAATCACTGGAAACAAATGCCCAGAGGCTGAGATTTTCAAGATATATCATGGATAAGCCTGTGGGGGACTGTCTCACCTGAAGGACTCCTACAGTGATGAGGCTTTATTTTCTACTTCTATGTCAAAGTGTATTTGAAATACATGGGTTCAAAACTTTAAAAATACTGTCCAAGGCTACACAACTAGTTCTTCACAAAAATAATCACTGGACAGAACTACTAGTTATGAGATTATGTGAATTTTTAGCAAATAAAAACAAACATATTCAGGCCCCCTTCCATTTGCTGAAAAAAGCTAAAAAAATAATTAGAATATGTATGATTAAGGCATAGAAATGAGCTTAGCTGAAGCCTAATCTTATACTTTTTACTGGCTAAAATTAGATGTTGCTTGTCCAGTGAAAATACTGAAGAGACAGACCAGAAAAAGCATGAGAATAAATCCCTCAGTAATTCAAAATAAAAACCAACCCAGTTTTCACAGGGCTGCCTCTGGGGAAAGAAAGATGATTTACAATTAAGTCCACGGTTTCCACTGTAGTAGTCAGATATTCTAAATAAATTGTGAGTAAAAAATACCCAAATAAGCTTTCCAGAAGGAGTTAGAAATCGCCACTAAAAAAAACTCCAGTTTCCTCATATCTAGCCCTTGGACAAAAGTATTTTTATTTCACAGACCTTGCTCAAAAGTATTAAAATAATTCTGAATTAAAAATTATTCATACGCTTTTAAATTTTATTTTGCCAAACTGATCCTGAAAATGCAGCCATTTCACCCAATAGGTCTAGTTTTCATATTCAGTATTCTACTTTTATTACCGAACTCTTTACTGCTCTTTTCCTCTCAAGAGTGAATATGCTGGATTCTGCTTTATTCTGCATAAAAACTGTTTAACATTTCATGACAGCTCAAATCTTGAGTTCCTCAAACACATAACTTGTAATAAAATTAAGATGTAAATCTAATAATACTTAACAGTACTAACATGGCAAAGAACTGGCACCTGAGAAGATGCTTACATCCTCAGAGTAAAACAATACAGGAAAGGAAAATGGTACATCTCACTTTTTTTTTAAATAGAGTGAATTTAGCTCTACTTCAAGGACTTTGAAAGATTCACTGTGACATTGGTTAGTTTTCCTTCAAGTGAAACTAAATATCAGATGAAAAAAAAAATCTTATTTGTTGTGTCATAATGAAGAATGAAAATGTTATGCAGATATATCTACAAGGTTAAACACACAGATAATTCCAGACTCATGCATCCTTTCTGGCTGTGACAAAGCCACACAAAGACGTTAGTTCAAAATTTTTAATAAAATAAATTCAAATACATCTCATTTTCTGTCCATAGCTACATTGTTACATATCAAAGAAATACATACTTTTAAGAAAATGGGAAAAAAATATTTAGCCACAAAAGTTGGTAGTGAATATACAACTCAAAATCCAGTTTGCCAGATTTGTCAAAATTAAGCAACTCGATCTTATCATCCACCACTTAACATACCCATTACCAATTTGTAAAAGACACTGCTGAAATATTTACAATAAATAAATAACTTGAATCACTTGAAGTAAACACTTCACAGTTTCCTGAATCAAGTGAGTAAAAATCAAGAGTATCAATGCAAATCATGTATAAACAAGCCTGGAAAATAATTCTCTCTACAACAGGAATTGTAGAGGGAACATGTAATAGCCTATTGCATACCATACTTTAGAAACAGTACATAGACACATCTACAGACTCCAATACAATCTTAATTTTCATTTCTTGCACAGGAGGTTGAATATGGTCCATATGCTTAAGCAAATGCAGCAGCATGCAGTCTTGTTTGTCACCATGTTTTAAGGCAGGGACAAACCTGTTTAACACAAGCTAGTACTGTAAAGTACATAAAATAGCCTTCAATACACTGAATAGGGAACATTCAGCTCCACAGAAATGGTACAGAAATGCCTTGTAAAATTAGGCCCATACTAATGGCCTTGAGATATTTTCTAGCACTTGTCACTGTAAAAGTCCCCCCTGGTTTTATTTGTATAGATACAGCATTTTTTAGAACAGAATGTATGCCAAGAAACTGGTTTCCAAGTCACAAGATTTCAAATAATGCTAAATACAACTTGTAAATTTTTATTGAAATGGCTGAAGAGACTTTCATATGTGCCAATCTAAAGATATATGCATTGTTCTTGCATACAGAAAAACTTGTACCAAAAAAAATATAGAATGAAAACATGCTTAAGTTGTGGTCTGCTGAATTCAGCTTCTACAGAGCTGGCAAGTATTTGAATATGAAAATGACTGCATTTTGTTCAAATGAGTTCATTCAATTTAATTTTTAAAGAGCAGGTGTCTAACTAGTAGCTTAAAAAGCAATATAACCACATGTGTAACTCCTGCAACGGTGATAAGCTGAATAACTAACACCCACATTCTACATAGATTTCAAGCTGTAATTTTAAAACCACGTAATTTTTAACATTGATCTAATGAAACCCAGAAGATCAAGTACAAAAAAAATTGTTTATGAATAATTATTGTTTATTGGGATCTGTCTCCTGGTTTCACTCCAGGAAATTAACCACATTTTGGCAAAGAAATATCAGACACCAGCAGTTCCACAGTGACAGCTTTTTTTTTTTTTTAAAACTTCAAGTAATTTACTCACCAATATATTTGAGAACTGACAGTATTTTACAGGAAAGGCTAAAAAAAAAAATTAATTGAGGTGCAAGAGTTGTTTCATAAGTTCATATGTGGTAAAAGCCACAGCTTGGGAAGGAATACAGCGAATGTAATTTAGAGATAAGCCACGGTACAATCCTCTTCTTATTCCGTGTTGTTGATACACATATTTCAGTGTCTGCACCATTGTACTGGAAAAATAAGAACTCAAATCATTATTGGATACACATATTCAATAGTCAAAATCACATCAAATACCGGACACTTGTTTTAATTGGTTCTTAGGAGACCTATGGAGAAAAACCCCACGGGACTCCATACAGCAAAGCATTATAGTCTTTAGGACTCAGAAGAAAGTCGGAGCTTCTGCAAGGAGCTTGGGCACAAGGGCTGCAAATTGGACAGAGGACAGTGCTACCCCATCTAAAGAAGTTTCCCTCTGAAAACATCTGCCCTAAGACATTAAAACATTTTATGCCAGAATGGCTACGCATTTTCTGTTGCCTACCTGGAAGGAAGGAGTTGAGAATCATCAGTTTTTCCTTACAAATTTAATACAGACTAACAGAAGCATAATTTGCTCAATGTAGCACACACCTCTTGCATTAAAGATCAATATTTTGGCTTGTATCCCATTCTCCTTCTTTGCACACTTGATCATACAACCTGTTCTTCTAAAGCTCTGCATACACAATTTATATTTAGCTCTGTATTATACACCATGACAAAGACCTAGTATTTTCTCTTAAAAGAGAAATGATAAAATTTACATTTATCTGACCTTATTAAAAGAGAATTTCAGTGTATATGCAAGGAGAACAATTTTCCTCACGTTCTTATACTGAAACCGAGCAAATGGCCATTAAATGCAAAGCAATGTAAAACTCTTTAAGACACTCAAAATTTAAAAGCTATTAAAGACACAACTCTTCAAGAGCACCTTCCACATGCCTCAAGTCTTCAATATTTCCTACTTGTTTTATCCTCTCATTCTCTGAAGATGTGTCTACTCTCCTTCAAAGCACAGCTCTCTCCAAACATGGTCACAGTATTGTTAAATTGTGAAGACTAATATCTGTAAAAGTAGTTCTCACAAATTCATAAAGTAAAACCCCAAGCATAATTAACACATTTTTATTTTTAAAGTATCTGGAGTAGAAACAGCCAAGCAAAACAATGCTGCTCAGGAAAGCAGAACAGCAACTTGCACAGTAAGCAACACCTATGTCATTGATGAAAAGTCACTAAGATCAACTCCTGCAGGACTCAATTCACTGTGCAGGGGGTTCACACTGAATCACACTGGATGCAGACATACACAGTTCCACAAGACTGAAATTAAGCAAGATAAAAACTGTCCCGGAATTGAATTTGCTTGAAACACTTTGAAATTCAGGAAGTTTTTCAAGATGAGAGCTGATTTAATACTATGATTTCTAAGGCTATTATGGTACTTATACTGGAGGAACCCCAACTATGCATGGGGTGTGGGAGACTACCATAAATCCAAGAAAGCAAATAAAACAGTATTATGCAAGATCATCTTATGGAACAGATTCTGCATCACTAAAATCACTTCTAAACATTTCACTTCAGTAGAGAGATACAGTCTCTCTCTCTCTCTCTTAGGGATCCTGCTGATATTAAAAGCCAGACATCACAAGTTAAGTTGAGTTGAAGAGTTACTAATACAAACAGTATTGCTAACAAAAGCGCCATTGTTATTTCAGGGATTTTTTTTAACCCCAGAATGATAACGGCACCTTTTGTCTATATGGAAACTTACTCATTGATAGAATGAAAAAAATTAACACCACAGTAGTTTGGGAGGGGTTGTGTTTTAACTTCAAGAATTTAACTTTGCTCAGAGATCTAAGAATTCTATCACTATGGATGAAAAGAAAAATACTTACAGGCACTTTTCAGAGTCTCCAAGAACTGCTCCTAGCTGCATTCGACGACGAGTTACATCAAGGGGATATCTACAGAGAAGATATTTGAACAGCAGTTCAAACTAAATGTGTGATGACTATATATGAATATTGTTTAAAAAAAAAAATACAAAGAAATCCATGTGCAACAACCAAGCTCCCTTTTCAGTGAGTCAGGAATCCAGCTCAGATTCTCAACACAGCTGAAAGTTCTCCAAAAAAGGGAGACTTCCCCTGTAACAAGCAAAACCAGCAAATCAGATCTCTTAATATATTCCATTTGGCACAAGCAAGGAAAACACATGAAGATCAGATGAGAGAATAAAACAGTCTGTAAAACACTGGAGGGAGAAGACACCTGAATTGAAAATAAAATTAAGTTTAAGGACTAACAGAAAATGACACTTGTAGTGCAATGATTTAGTGAAAAATTCATGCCATGTAAATCCATTAAATTTATTTTATGGACAAAATAAGATATGACAAGGACAGCATAAGAGTTGAGAGAGCAGGCAAAGTAATAAAAAAAATAATGCCAAATACAATATCTAAGGATTTTTTAATTCTGTGGCTTCACAGGTTACATTGTTTTGAAAATAAACTGGAATAATGAAATACTGCTAATTATGTCCATGGTCCAAATTTCATAGCTTAAACAAGATTTGCCCAAATTCAATTGAGTCAATGCATGTATCTTTAAAGACCCTGAAGGTTAAACAGGTATTCACCAAATGAAACAATAGGAAATTACTGAATTCCAGTGTCCGACTAACGTGATTTGGAAACCTTACTAATAACTAGACATACATAAAACCATATTCTCAGGCAAAACCTTTAGAATGAACAGCTATATAGAAGAAAAACCCAAACCAAACAATACCCAAACTTACGATATCGTCTGAGCTATTGCTCCAGCTATGCCACCACACAGCAGATTTACATGTGTTTTCAAAACTAAGACATCAGGATTATCTAATGAAGGCCGTCCAAGCAAGTTAGGTGCTTGAGCAAGTCCAATGCTCTTTAAGGTACCAAAGGTAAGTTTAGAAAAACCTAAAAGGAAATTTAATTTTATGTACTTTCATAAAAAAGCAAACTATTTGTCAATGCATCATCATAAACAAAAAGCTGCAATTACAAAATGAAACTATTTTCCAATTCTTTTAGAAGTTTTTAAGAAGGAAGAAACAGACAAATAATATTTTGAACTTCTACAGTAACTTCTGTCCAATTAATTAGTGTTTACAATTAACATTAAAACAATGCTTCAAGCTAGACTGTGGGCTTTAAATTACTGGATTGCTGTTAAGAGTAACTCCTAAGATCTTTTAATGTGAGTGTAGTTTAGCTGGGCAGTTCTAATGTTCCTCCATCCCACATCACCCACGACTTATAACACCTTAGCTTGTTATAAATATTTGCATAAAAGTCACCAGGAGATGGAACCAATACAGAGGCTCTAAATCTCCATCTATAAAGTGCTGTGGTCTCTTGTGGATCTACCCGTTTGAGAGAAATACCCTAAATGCTTCCTTGTGGGAAAACTAGGAAGCAGGAGAGAAAGCACCACCACTTTACCTCTCTCACTCTCAACTCAGAAGAGTCAGGCTGTGCCTGTTGAAGATGCTTTAACACACACTGATCAATTCTAGATTAAGATTAAATAGTTGCAAATGCTTCTACTGGCTTCCGCTCTCCATTCCTTAAAAACCAGAATCCTTGATTTTAACAGACACTCATTAACTAGGTGTGCAAATACATTATGCAAATTTGGTAGCACAAGTGCTGAAGGATTGGCACGTTCTGTTGTTAACTCACCCGCGTATGGCGCCATTCCTATAACAGTTGGCATCAGCCCTCTGTAGAACGCACTAAAACCACCTTCCTTTGAAAGAAAAATACAAGCACAGTTGTGGCAAGAAATACAACAAAGGTCTTAGGAAGATATACCACTGTTCATACAGATTCACATGACAGCAATCTGACTAGCATCATCTGGCACCAAGGAGCTAACATCAATTTCCATTTCTTGTGACTGAAAAAATTGAGGGGGCAACTGCCTGGATCTGTAGGAAATGAAGTGAAAATGAAGTAGAAAAATCTACATCCAACATCATAATCTAGGAGACATATCTGCATTATACATATCCCTCCTCCCCAAATTTCACTGTATCATTACTACTTTTTTATATGAAAGCACCTTCTCTGCTATTTTTGAGCTCCCACTTGCACAAGTCTTAGCTACATCTTAGCAGCCTAAGCAGAAGGAAGCATCCAGATAAATACATTTAAAAAATTTAATGTGCACGCAGTGAAGTCATGTTATTTTCCATCAAGCCGCTATTTCCAGTGCAGTGCAACATTCTTTAAAAGAGCACATTTTGCTTTGACAGGACTGAAGATTAAAAGAAAAAATACCTTTGTGTAAATCATCTTGAATGCATGGATAATCCCCATGTACTTGTGTTCCCCTTTTACTTGGAACGCCAGACGAACTCTAACCATATCAAGAGGGTAAGTACAAATCACTGCTGTAACACCTTTATTAAAAACAAAAACAAAACAAGCAAACAAAACTCACCTACACCTTATCTGATTCTAGGATTATTCTGAAAATTAGAATTTCCTCTTGTGGCAGTGAACATAATAGCACATACAAATGATTATGTTAAAGAAATACTTAAAGTTACTTACAATCAGCAAATAGAAACACTACCTTCAATAACACAAAAAGGATTTGTGTTTATACTTGGTGTTGGCTGAAGCTGCACACTTGATCACTAGGCCTTGATCTTCCAAAGGTTTATAGGCCTAACTGTATTCACACGAGTGATCTTATTTACTTCCATGGCTCCTAAGCATCAGACTAGTTAAGTGCATCAGCTTTACAGGACTCCAACCATGAAACCTAATCCTTCCAACTCTTTTAAAAAAAAAAAAAAAATCAAACCACCAAATTTACACACTTAATTTTAAAAGGGTTCTGTCAGAATTTGATGTGATTACTGGACATACATACATTTACCTACTGCATCTGAAAGTACTACATATATTCTAATGACATATAAAATTTGGATCATACTGAGGAGGAGCACTTAACTGTGTTGCATTATTTTAATAGTTCATGTTACACCAGCACTTCTGTTCCAAACCTGACCCAAAAAGCTATTTCTAGATGAAAAATGCCAAAATCAAATCGTAGGATTCATCCAGTTATCAACTGCTTCAAAACTGATCAGATGCTGACCAAGTTTGGAAACAACTCTGGTACAGAGAACAACTCCTCTAACAGTTAACCGAACAAGTTCTTTCCTGCTACTAGTTTTTGAGGTAAACCACTCTACTGCTGACAAATGATTTCGACGGAATAATTAAAACTGTTCCTTAAAAAATGAGGTCATTTTCTGGTGGTATACCATCATCACTAAAAAAAATACCATTAAAAAAATAGAAAAAGAAAGGAAAAATCTTGGTGATTGATCTTGTTTTCTAGCAGCCACTCTGCTTTAACTAAACATCACCCTTAAAAAATTCCTCCTTCAGAAGATAAGCACACTTTTGTGCTGGCAGGAAATTGCCACTTCCTCTTAAGTTTTAATAGTCCCTTAATGATCTCTCTTTTTACAGGTGTATTGCTTCCCTCCCTTCCACAGGCCAAGAGAAAACCACAACAGGGACAGAAAGGAAAAAAGAAAAAAAAAAAAAACAAAAAAAAACACCCCAAACAACAACTACTGCAAGCAAACTCTTCATAACTTTTATGTCTGTAGATTAAAAAAGCAATTTAGTAAGCTGAATGATCTGAGAGAAGTTATCATTATTAGATGGGGAGAAAAACAATTAACATCAAATGAGCTCACCAAAAAGCTGACACTGGTCAACTGTCAATTAAGAGTAAAATTTGTGGCCTTCTGGCGTATGCTACTAGTCATTTATTTTAGAAGACAAAAATGTCTCTTTCAGAGACTCTGGAAGATTCCTCTGAACAAAAAGCAAACATCTGCAGTTGATTTCTGATATTGTCTCACCCATAGGGTTCAGAAGTTGGAAGCAGAAAAACACCAGAGCAATTCCAGAACTGTTTCCACTGACCTACATTATTAAAGGCAATCCCTCAGACCACAGCCTTTTTATAATGGATTGCCTGAAATATTGTAAAATGGATGAATGCAAGCAATTTTTTAAAAATAGGAGGAAAAAAAAACTTTTACAGAGCTTCAGAGTTTACAGGAAAGCTATCCCACTTAAACCAGACAACTTTATCCCTCTTCTCTTTCCAGTCATGAACTGATAGGGATCCAGGAATATCTTCTGAAGACAGAATAGCAAACAGACCAACCAAGAGCTTAGTGAATGCACTAACTAGTGAACACAGTTCAAAAATAGTACAATTGAAAAAAATAAAAAATCAGATGGAACTGAAAGAAACCATGTGCAGTAGGGATTTAAACAGTATTTTTTTTTTAATTTAGTTATTAAAAATCCTCTAGCTATGAATTAAAAAGTACTTATAACAGACACACAAAATACGCTTTCTAGAAGCAACTGGGAGAGGCATGTTACTGCTTGCTATTCATATAAGCAAAGTGTACATACAAGGGATCAGGATTTCCTTTAGGGCCCAGAAGAGCCACTGTCCTTTCTGGGAGAAATGGTGGCCAGCTTTGGGTCACAAAGTTATTGTGGTGGAGTCTACAAATTTACTAACCTCTACTCCCTAAATATTATGAGTTATCAGAAGTCAGACCATAGCATCTTAAGGATGATTCCGTGTCTTGAGGAAGCAAAGTCTATCCCAAACAACAAGAGCTGAGCCAAAAATCTCTCGCACAGCTGGTTTAAGAGGACAGAACTGGAACTGTCTCAACAGTTTGGAGATACATACTGCAGTTCCCAGCGTCTGATCTGAAACAATCCTAATATGGTAGTGCAGCTCCTCCCTCCTTTAAGGAACCACTTCTTCAAAAACACCAGACTTTTTCATTGCAAACACTGGCTCAGAAGTCAAGAAGTCAGTGAAAGACCATTTTTCACTTGCCATATTGTCCTCAAGCGCCTTTGACCACTCTTGGGGACAAGATTCCGGGTTACATAAACCTTTACTGAGACTTACTGTCAGTGAAGCGCAACAGGAGTTAGGCTGTCCTTGATTTGCTTCCCCAGCTTTGGGAGTTAACAATGAGATTAGCTGTAAAGGGATTTACCAGTCTCTTAATTTCCCTACCATTCCTCCATTCTTAGTAATCGTCTGTCTTTGAAAATTTAAAAAAAAAAATGGAGCAAGAAAAAAAAGCACATGAATTACACTTAAAAAGATCAGGTACTGCAAACACAACTGATATGCAAATTTTTATTATTTCTGTATAATAAAATTTCTCTGTCCTTTGTACTTTATCAATAACTGCACAGGTCAAATTAAGTACTACCAGGTGATTCAGAGGTATACAGTTCAAAAAGCAATAAACACAAGTCACAGCCTTGAACAGCAGCAGATATGCTCCTTAACTAGTATAAAGATCAATCTATCAAGGAGGCATCTTCTGAAGAAAAAGCTTCAGGAACCATACGCACAAAGAATATTTATCAGAAAAGTTAAAAAACTGCTTAATTTAGCTTACATGTCCTATTATTTCTAGACCTCCAGTATAAAATTCTGTTTCTGAATTGCACCTGAAGAAATAAACAGCACACGTTCTTTTAAAATGCTATCTCAAATAGGTAACTGTTAGTTACATACTCTCTAAAATTGAGACAGCACCCTTCTAAATCAGTACTCTTTTCCAATCACTTCTACTAAAAGTAAAAGGACAAAAACAAAATGATGCCTTCTGTATTAGTTTCATGAAACTTGAGTTTATTCTAGAGAAAAATTTAAAATGCCCAAAATTATTATTTGTTAAGTTAATCAAGGCCACAGAAGGAAATACACACTTCTGTGTTTTAATGCAGACTTTTCAATTATAAATCCATAAAATAAAAAAAATTTCACTTGCAAAATCATCCTGTGATACAGGTGTTACTTGATAATTGTTTCTTAAACCCCTCTAACATCTATGATTTCTCTACCTTCTCCCCAGCTCTGTCTTTTCTTAGAAGTTATACACCATTTATCTGTTAATGAGGTGTTACAGTTGGAATTTGAATCACACAAGACTCAGGAAATTCAGAGTTACAGCTTCCACAGTAACTTTAACTTGGCCTCCTTAAATATATACATTACAATAGGTTTTTCTTCTCTCACTCTACTACCCCCCATCCTCATCGCCTTTTTTAACCCTGTGGATATGCTTTTGATCCTGTTTATCAGTTACAGAAGATACTCAAGACAGCTGTGTGGCTAGATGGTGTAGAAGGGACAAAAAGGAAAGGGAAACAAGCATTATGCATTTTCAACTGCCTAATACTGGGTTTCAGGAAACTGAAGACCTCTGCCCACCAACACTGGTGAACAATCCACCTTCAGTCATTTAAACTTGGAAGAAGCAGAGTAACACCCCTTATTGGACCCAGCAGGAAATTAAGACACAGAAGTTAAAGCAAGAAATACTACCAATTGCTTTTAAAAATACCTTCTTATTTAGTTTGCAAACCTAGACCATTTCTTTATCAGATTTCATACTCTAAGCTCTTCTTGGTGCCTCCTTCCTCCTCTGTATCTTCTTGGCATGCTCAACACACATGCACACATTAACCTAATGCAAATCCCAAAATGCAGATAATGCCACCTAGTAAACAAATAGTAAGATACTCATGTATGAAACTATTACTATACCTGACAGCTGTTTTGAATTCACTGCACACTTAAGTCTAGCTCATCTACTCACTTTTGGGGTTCTCAATACCAGACTACTGAATATATTATACTTAAACACACCAAAAAAGGCAGTTCATTTGATCATGGTTTCTAGATAGTAGCGTACGTTACTTATATTTCTGTTACTCCAACCACTACAAAACAGACTTAACCAGTAAGGTGCTTAAAACAATGCCAGATGCTATTAATCTATCTATGTAAAGAGTTCCAGCATGTCCAACACTGACAAAGTTAAGATGATTATTCAGTGTTTTCATAGTGCCTCCCAAGTCAGATTCCAGGTCTTTGAGAAGGCTCCTGAAAAAGCCAATAATAAACTTTTGGGGAAAAAAAAAAAAAAAAAAAGTGTTCTTTAGTACAGATAAGGTTGGGGGGAAAGAAAGAAAGAAAAAAAGGGGGGGGGGGAAAATCTATGTATTTCTTCCACTTCTTTCAGAGAGAAAGCCAGCCAAGTTCTGGAACATGTCTTACCAAATAGGTTTTGCCATTTTTTAGAAACTTTGAATAGTTTCATTTCATTATCTTTCCTTCTCCTCTGATGGCATGCAAAGCCAAAATACCTTGAGATCTTCCCAGTTTAACTAAAGGCAGTATTAACAAACTCCAGTATTTTTATTCCAAAAGAACCCAATATTAATACTCATGTCATAACTACTTAAGGACTGTCACTAGACAGCACTAAGCCTGTTCTATGAAGTAGAAGCAAATGAATAACCATCTTTGATTAGAACCAGTCCATTATTACTTACCTTTCCCTGTTTTTTTCTTAAGTATTTTTGGCTGAATGACTAACAAGGAAAACAGAAAAGTACACACATACTGTATACTGGCAGTTAAATATTTTTTTCTACTGCTATTGCACCAATTGATGATTTTTTTTTAAAGTTGAGACTTTATGATTTTAGGATTATCACAACAATCCTGCATTGGATGTTGTACAACCAACAGCACAGACATTTCTGGCAAATTCAAACAATCCACCCATTTCAGGAGCTGCAGTTCTCTATTTCTATGGGCTTATATTCAACCTAGTAGCAATGGCAGACAGGCTGATGAGCCAATTCTACTAAAACCTGCATCTTTATCTTGATGACACTGGATTTTTCATTTTTTAAAAGTCATAATAAACACTATAAAAACTGTGCTTTACAACATAGCACAGAATTCAATGCTTAAGCAAATACATTTTATTAAATAATACTTTTAGGAAAGCAGCTTTCAGTTAGGCAACTATGTGTTACATTAACCATTTACTAGTATTTTTCCTTAATACAATTTTGCAAGTTTGACCTGAAAGTAAATCGAATCATCCTCTAAACAAATATTAACTTTCCAAGAAAAGGGATGTCTGAAATCCAAGTACAAAACTATACCTGCCATGGATCCAGCCATTAATCGATGCACATGCCCTGAAATCCCAAGTTGCTTCTTTATTACCTACAAAATACAGAACATTTACAATAGTTGTGAATCAGGAAATACAGGGAAGTACATCACATGGTTTATTGTCTGTTTCCAAGAAGTTTACAACACTACAAACTCAAACCAGAGCACTTAATTACTGTTAAAATTAATTTTCTGAACATTGGTGCTGTTACCAATTTTACTAAATCCATGAAAATGCTAAAATCCTACTAGCAAGGCACAATTTGTTAAAAATATTTGTACTGTTCAGAAACTAGATGAATTATTTTGTTATCTTTGTGTGTCAAACAAGGCAAACTGAATACTTTCCCTGTTGCATGATAGAGAGCAAAGGACACTGAGCAAAGTTGAAATGTGACATATTTGAGAAGAGTAAATTTTTTGTCTACAGACACAGCATGTGAAACTACTCCTATAAAGAATTTTTTAATACTTTGCTTAACTGGATAAAAAAAGAGAAATCATACAAGCATTTTAGAGCAAGAACTTCCTAAGTTACATTAGGTCACTGAAGGAAGCTAAAAATTAGTTTCCAGGCTTTTATCAAATAACTGAGGCTATTTAAGAAGCAGTTTCTGCTCTAGAGAAAATAATTTCATAACTTCCTTTTTTCTTTTTCTTTAACACATTCCTCCCAAACATCTTCAATGTTTATTGTCAATTAATAGACAAAAGAAATTGCTATGACGCTAACTGGTTTTTTGAAATTTGCATGTTCATAAATCAGTTCATTATAGATAACGGCATGCAGGTCTTTTACTCAACACAACATAAAAGAAGCATAGATCAACAGCATTTACAATTACACAACAAAAAAAAAAAAAAAAAGAAATATTACAGTTACTTCTTTGTATCAGCCTTTTGAGATTTGCTCTGTAGGGAAGGGAATCACAGCTTCAATCTCACTGTATTTGGTAAAGACCATGCGATTTACTTCACTGGACACTAAATCTGACCTTTCAAACACAGAATTCCTCATTGCTACACAGTACAATGGTATTTTCCACCACATACTATCAATGTTTAAAAACATCCTCATGCTAACACTTGACTCCCAAAAGATATTGCAGGGATTTATTATGTATGTATTAAGAAAGAGTAAAATGCACAAGAACAGACAGGAATCCACCAATTTTGCAGGACCCTGAAATAAGCATTTTCTCTTCTAAGTCATTTTTACCTATAGACTGATAGTGATTTGTCAGGTCAAATGTAACAGTCATATCCAGGCATACTTTCAAGTTGAAGTTATTCTGCCCGTCAAGTACTAAGAATCCAAACAATATAATAAAGAGGTTCCATTTTACATTTTATTCATACTATATTGACAAAGGGCTACCTTACAGCAATAGAAATAGCAGCAGACTTTAGATTACCCTTTTCTTTCACAGAAAAAAGTAGTACTGTCACCAATACAAAGGTACAAAAATCAATGGGAATTTTCTTCCTTAAGCAAACTGCAAAAGGCTTCACTGTTGCCCTGACATTTTTAAGGGGTATATTAAAAAAAAATATAGTAACCTTTGAAAAGACATGCAGATAATTAATAAGACAAAAGTTTCAGTGTTAGCTTTGATCACATAAAGAATCTGTATTCACTGTAGACAGAAAAAAAGGAAATCAAAATTAATTCTACTACCTTTTTATATTGGTCAAATGCCATAAACTGAATTGCACCATATGGAAAGATCCTAATCATCATTGCCCCGTTTCCTTTATACAGCCCAAGGTAGCCTTCCTTTTTGGGGACAGCACACAATGTAGAAAACACTCCTGCCAGTTACACAAAAAGAGGTATTTAACACTTACACTGTAGAAAGGAGAAAAAAAAAAAAAATCAAGCAAATATTACTGACAATAAGAAAGCATGAATAGAACTAAGGCCAGATCACGTTGCTCATGTAACTATGGATAGTGGAAAATCCCGTTTCAATGGCCAAACACTGCCAGAAGGATGAGGTTTAAGGTTATCAGCTTCCTCACCTCCCAGGCTTGCTCTGTGTAGCTCTTTCTGAACTCACACGTTCAGGCCTTGTGACCTGGCTGGGCCACAAGCAAACCTACTGCAGATGACCCGCAGAAACTAATTCTAGCAACTGAAGGAAGGGAACTGTCTGAGTTGTAATTCAATCAATTCTAAATAAATAAAATAATTAAACCACGCACTATTACAACATGCTAAATTACAAATTAAATGCCATCACTGAGGAAATTAAGTAAACAATTTTAAGACTCTCATTACTTACAAATTAAACATATCACACTTCCTGTCCCAGAGTCGTTGCAACAAAAAATAATCCTATTCCCTTTTAATAGGTGGGAAATAATGCAAGATCACACAAATTTGGGCAAAACCTACAGTTTTATTGTAAACATATTATTAGGTATGTACAGTTGCTACCAAATTGACTTTTTTTTTGGTAAAGAACGGTAACACTTAAACAGTTTCCATTCATGTGCAACTCAAGAGCTGAACATGAAAAAGGCTTACACATTTATCTTACTTTCATGCAGAAAAAAAGCAGTTGACAGACTTCCATTTGAAGTTTAAATAAAACAATGGTTGATTAGTTTCTAGGTGTCAAAGAATAGAATATTAAATGTATTAAGACGTCATGCTTATTACATGCCTCTGAAAATACTCATGCCATGATTAGAGTTTCTCTCTGTCCTACAATGATGTGTAACTGTTCTTATTTCTTAAAACACAGGCTCCAAGATCCATGTGGCACAAACTCTACACAGCAAGGACAGTAAGAACACCTAGCAAGGCCTTCTGTGAACTAATCCCTCACGTCTCTGCACCTACAGGTATCTCATCCACAGGTTTTTTTTGCTACATGTAGCAAGGACATGGATTCAAGTCAGACACTTCAAATAATCAGTATCGTATCTCTCCTAAAACCGTAAATGTGGAAAAACATAAGATTTTACTTCCCAGTAACGGTATAGTAACAAAAGCAAACAGAAAATAAGGCTTTAAAACATCAAGCTGATTACTTCAGACGTCAGTTATTCAACTGCAGATTTGAATGCACGCCTATGTGACTGTTACCAAAACACCACATTACTTGGATTTGCCTTTTTGGTGCAGTGAAGTGAATATATATCCACTGAATTTTAAGATTTATTTTCCAGTCTTTAAAAAAAAAATTATCTCTACAGTCTAAGTTAAAAAATTCAGTTTCCTTACATGTAAAATTAACCGACTCAAAATCATTATTTTTTCTTGACAACTGCAACACACTTAGAATTTGCAACATAGGCTATGACATCCTTCAGGAACACAAAACACAATACCTCAGATCCCGTGCACAAGAGGGCACTGTTACAGCCCCACAGAGCACGCCTCTCAACGTGCTGACAACTGAGTTCGTTCTCTCTGCGTGATGCAACGCAGGAGCCGAACACAGACCACCTGCACCTCACGCCAAGCGCAAACCCGCTTCTGCCTTCAGTTCATACCTACCCAGTTGCTGCTGCCTGGGAGCCTAATGCGGGATTTGGTGTTCACCACTGTGTCATCCCCAAACCCTGTGAGGGCTACCGAGCTCCAAGAAGCACCGGTTTGCACAGCCCCTGGGAACCAGCACACGCTGTATCGGACTGCGGTGGTTACCAGCCGTGACAGGACATAAATTATCCCAGCTCTGAACCTATGATTAGCAGTCTCCTGCTGGCCTCACTCAGGGGAAGATCAAGCCTGGCTCTTACAGGCCTTGCTGAGGATTATTCCGACATCTCAATCTCAAACACACCAACTGATACAGCAACTCACTCGCACAGCTTTGGTTTTCTTTTTAAGCACTAACAAAACATGGCACAGAGACTCACCAGGCAGATCCAACCCTCTGTCTGATTAGTGCCTTTTTTTATCAGCCACATCACTGAAAAAATCAACATACCCCAACCACATGCATTGCACTTAAACCCCAAAATTAGACACACAGCAGCCATCTTACCTAGATGTTTGTAATGGTGGTTATGAGCTTGCAGCAAAATCTTTACTCGATCCAGTGGTGCAGTAGTTGTTTTGGCACAACATCCTGCAACACCTTTCCAAGAGGGGAAACAGAAAAGTGACGAGACAAAACTTCTTTATGACAACAAATAAATAAGGTACTTTTCTAATGTATTTTTAAATTGAGTATAGGAGGAAGAAGCCCCGATGACAAGGAAACAGCCTCTCTTATAAGTGTGTTACAAACCCTTTAAAGCCTTAATGAGAGGTATAAGCTACTTTTCCTGATTATAAAAACCCATGGCCATCATCTCTCAGCTGTGAAGTCAGAGCAGAAGCTTTCAGAGAAAGCTTTCCACTTGGCTTCCTCCCTCCCTTCTGCGGAAAACAGCCCTGGCTGCTCTCTCCAGAAAAGCAGGCTACGTGTGTGCCGTGCCCCCTGCGCTACTTCAGAGTGGGACCCAACTGCGAGCGCAGCGTGACGCGAAAACTTTAAATAAACATCCTTCTAGCCCCTTACAAACCCGACAGCTGGGAACAAGCGGGCTTTTAACGGGGCGTTGTGCCCGTCAGGCTGACCCTGTCTCACACCTCCTGCATCTTCCCAACAACAGCGGCCGCAGCCGTTTTGGGACGGGGACAACCCGCCCTCCCCAGGCACCATATCGGGGTCTGGGCGCTGCGCCCCTTCTGACACGTGTGCGAGTCACTCGCGCGTCCCGAGCCACCTGCATCCGCACAGTAGTGGGAAAAAGGGGCGGAAAAAAAGGCGAAGAGACGACCCTTCCAACCCCCCCGGTGACGGTACTCCCAATAGCAGCTCTACCGGGGGTGCTGACACGGACGTGACCTCCGCCCGGCTCCCCACGCCCGCGGAGCCCGGCCAGGCGCACCCACCTCCGGCGATGAAGGAGCGCAGCCAGTAGAAGTC